GCCTAAACTGGCAGTCGGACATCCCTCTCACAATCCGGGACTGCTGGCTCCCAACCACTCACCTGCCTGCCTGCCTGATTGCCCCTAACTGCTTCTGCCTGCCAGTCTGATCACCCCCTAACGGTTAGGGCCTAACCACTCCCCTGCCAGCCTGATCAATGCCTAACTGCTCCCCTGCCAACCCAATTGCCCCCAACTGCTCTCCCCTGCCAACCATCTTGGGCAGCCATCTTGTGCCCACATAGGGGTGGCCATCTTGTGCGAGGGCATGATGGTCAATTTGCATATTACCTCTTTATTATATAGGATCAACCCTCCTAAAGTAATTTGAATTATTATTCATAAACAGGTCACCTATTACAATACTGGTCTTGCTTTACCATCTAATGCCTCTAACTTCCTGCAGGTGATCCTCTGCAGACCAAGGAATGGCTTGAGGCAGAAGAAATACAGCATGACTAGTATATAGGGCTGCTGTCTCCACACTGGCCAGGATGACATTCTGGAAGGACTGTGACGGACATGGAATCTTGGCCAGACTATTTGGAGATAAGCCCAAGGTACGCCCTTAGTTAAGCACTAAGCTGATTACTCTGAAAGGGTCAAACCAGACTTCTGCTGAGCCCTCTTCTCCATCTGGAAGACGAGTGATACTGATTTAAAAAGTCAAGACACTTAAGGCTAACTCTGCTGTACTTTAACTCAGAGCTGCAGACAGAAGCAACAGTGCCCAAAGATGGTGTATGGAGGACACACTTATATCCCATTCCTCATGTTTCCATGTACAGGAGTTAGACTAACACTCCTCTCTCCCCACCCCCTCTTAACTTTTTCCCATGGGGAGAGGAGTGAGTGATCCAAGAGGTGATTGAGGGGAGGAAATTGGGCATGTTCATTCAGCCCTTTCCTCCTAGGGAGCCAGCTCTTCGGCCAGGTGTTCTTGTCAGGTCTCTGTTCTATGGCAGAAAATCTGGCGGGAGGCCAGAGTCCCTGTCTAACCCAGTTTAATTCTGGGGATAGTTTGAGCAAACACACTTGGTATCAGCTCTAAGGCCACATTCACAAATTGACTTTTCAGTTACAATAATACTTTGATCTCCATAAGTCTGATTCTATAAGTTTCTCCCTCCATGGGTTTCAAACTCAATTGAGGGACAGAATATCAGCGCCCAAATACAGCAACAGGCACATTATTTTAATTAGCATTTTAATTTCCAAAATATGTGAATATTATCTGCAAATATATTTTTCTTAAAGATAAAAGTCCTAGCACTTTACAACATAAGCTCTTAGCTCTCAATACTACCTGCAGATGATGTAATAATTTCTAATATGTTGACATGTTTTAATAAGTCCACAAAGTCATGACAGATCCAAAGGGGGGAAATGGAGCATTCAGCACTACACAAAAGCCTACATCAGTGATGGCGAACCTATGACATGCGTGTCAGAGGTGACACGCGAACTCATTTTTTTGGTTGATTTTTCTTTGTTAAATGGCATTTAAATATATAAGATAAATATCAAAAATATAAATCTTTGTTTTACTATGGTTGCAAATATCAAAAAATTCCTATATGTGACACGGCACCAGAGTTAAGTTAGGGTTTTTCAAAATGCTGACACACGGAGCTCAAAAGGTTCGCCATCACTGGCCTACATCATTACAAAACACTTCCCTCTGGAATTACCTGAGGCTGAGAATCACTGGACAGGAAAGATGAACAAGCAGCCTCTATCTGTGGAAAACAAAAATGCCAGTTACATCTTGGAGATAGACAGAAAATAGCAGAAAATGGAAAGCAGATTTTACAAAGTCAAGTTACCTATGCAATAGTAATCGAAATTCCATGACAGCTTTAGGACTCTCGGATTTGGGGGAGAGGAGCCTCTTAAAGTTTCTAAGGAAGTCCTGCAATTGGGATTTCCCAAAAATTCACCCCAGTCACAGGGGTCCTATGTTCATAGGGATCATTAGAGAGTATAAAGATGCTTCAAACACTGAGGGGGAAAAAACTTCCTGTATTCTCCAGCCTGAGAAATGTGAGTGGTGACCAAAAAATGGCCTCGGAATTAAGAAGCACCCTGCTATTATGTGGTTCTTTATTACACATAAATCTAACCACACCATCTAAATTAAATGACAATAGCATAAGTGCTAAATTATAAATAGCATGATAAGTAGCATACAGTAAAAACTCTTACACAACAAGGGCAGCCTACTAGTTTGCTATCAAGGAGCCAGCATTAGAAAGGGTTCTATTGTACAAGAGTTTATTGAATTACAGTTGGCAACCAGCTGTTCTCCTAAAGAGAAGACTTGAAAGATTTTAAACTGTAATATAAAAGACTTATATTAATCATTTAAAAAACAGTGTTGAGAAGTTAAGCACTAAGCTAGATGTCTGAAGTTATTTGTGGCATTTATTTATTTTGGTGGCCTTTTAAAGTGGAACTGGAAAAAATGGTACTGATTCTTGTCTGTCTGGAATCATTCAGGTTGAGTCCTATTTATGGCATAATATCGCAGAGGCCCCTTTCTAGTCTCAGAATTCTTTTTTGAACAGTTTAATTTAGTTTCCATTCTCCCACCAAACTGAAGAGGAGATTATCATACTCTTCAGTCAAAATTTCTCAAGTTCCTTGTTGCTTTCAAGTTGAACATGTCCTAAAATATATGATTCTCTAATTAGAGAATAACAAAGGTGTCCGATATTATAAAAAAGCAAGCTTACATCTCTCTCCTCTTTATCCTCACAGAACTTGTCATCTTCTACATATATCGCAGATTTGGGGGAATTGTTTTATTCCACTTGTCCCTCGCTCCCTCTTCCATGCCATATAAACCCAGAATCATGAATATAAAGACACATACACATATACACACATAGTGATAAACTTCTTGAGGGCAGGGGCTATGCCACATCTAACTTGCCTAGAATAAGTTTTCAATAAATATTGTTTAACTAAATGTAATTGAACTTATGGAAAAAATAAGACAAGTCAATTGAGAGAGGAAAGCCAAAAAAGATACCCTTTTAAGCTCTGAATTATGACCCATGTGTAATATATCACCTCCCAATGACATTTAGTGTGATTTAACAGGTTGGAGAAAGTGATTCCTCCTAAAATTTTTGTGTTGCTTAGGTATCTGAAGACAGAAAAGCTCAGGGGGAAGGCTGTCCACCCACAGACCAGGCTGCCCATCTGTGTGAGGTGGCCACAGTGTCCAAGAATACAGAACTCTTGAGCCACAAGATAAGTAATGAGTGCATCCACATCGTTTGAATAAAAACATCAGAATAAGAAAAAACACCAATTAATTAAATTAAGAGATAATTGCAAAGCTTTTCAGTCTTTGTTCTCCTTTCTTTTAGAGGGCACAGCAACGTTGCTCACCCATTTGTTCATTGTACTCAGATTCTGGCTCTAATAGTTTTAAGTGCCACTAATGGCTTTCGAGAACCCTGCAGAATCCATTGATGAATTTGGTTGAAAATGTATTACGGTATAACTGGCATTTAGTTTTTTTACAGATAGACTCTGCTTGTTCATCTTTCCCGTCCATTAATTCTCTGTATATGGGTTGGAAATATGTTTCTAGTATTCTTAGCATCTTAACTTACTTAAATGATAGGGCTTTTACATCTCGGAGTTTTACCCAGCATTATCATCTAAATTATTTTTTTCAAAAATTTCCCACAGAATACAGATGGTTTCAAGCTAAAATAAATGTTTTTTTTATTATATACTACCTGTTGTCTAAATTATCTTCTTGTTTATATTTTTCTGGTGTGTGCTTTGATATACCAAAGCAAAGATCCTTATAATAAACTTTATGAATGCTATGCAATTAAAGACTGTTTCGTACTTGGCATTCACCATCTATCTTATCTTTTCCCTTATATATATTATTGGGGGTGGCTAGGTACAAAGGGTATACTTCTCAGTTCATAGCTCACTATCACCATTGGACTCTATTATTTTTACATTTCCATTTCCTACTCCTATTCCATCCTCCCATAGGCAACTCTTCTGTCATTTATGTGGATCCTTCATTTGCTTAGGATCTTATAAAATGTTACTGTTGTTTGGTGTGCACATATGTTATTTTCTTACTTTTTTTTCAATTAACACTATACTTTGAGACCTATCCATGTTACTGGGTACTTTAGTATGCTGCTCCCAACTGTTGGAGAATACCTACTATGTGTACCCACCACATGTTGCCTACACATTCCCTGATGACAGACAGCTGGATTCCCTCGAATCCCTCCTTTACCTCCTTGTATCTGTCCTCCACTCATGGATCTGTAGGAGAATATCTAGGCTTTATACCCAGGAGAGGTAATGGGGAAATCTAGGTGGCTTTAAAGCTGGCTCCCGAGTTGACACACTCACCAGCAATGTGTGAGGGTTCGTACCCCTCCACATCCTCTGCCATTATGACAGTTTGCTGTTTTCTTAATTTTCATTTCATTATTACTAATGAATTTAAGCATCACTTTAGACAGGTTTGTTGGCCTTTTACTAGTTATTAACTGGTACGTCTTAAATTGTTCTAGCCTTTGTCTATTTTTACCTGGATTCCCATCTTTATCTAATTGATTTGATAATATTTCTTAGGTTATTTTAGAAATTAATCCCTTATCAGTTTAGACATTGTTAATATCTCATTTCAAAGGTTCTTACCTTTTTCCATGGCATCTTTTGTTGAAAGAAATCTTTACTTTTAATGTAATTCGAGTCATCATTTTTTGACCCTATGATTTATATTTGAAGTTTTATTTAGGAAGTCTTTTCCTGCTACTAGCTCACAAAGATATTTTCCTAATAGAAAATATTTTCTATTAATTCCATAATTTTACCCTTTATATTTAGATCTTTAATCCACCTGGAGCCCCGCTTTGCATAGGGTGTTAAGTTTTACTTTCTTCCATATAGCAAGACAGTTTCTCAACCCTCACTGGCCAAACACTCTGTCCTTTCCCCACTGAATTTTAGCATTACTTTTATTGTGAGTTAAGTTTGCATGTACCTGAATTTCTGCCTTAAGTTGGGTTCCCCCAGAAACAGGCCTTGAGATAAGGATGTTGATATAAGTAGATTTGGGGGAGATGACCCAAGAAGCACTAATAGAAGACCAGAGAAATAAAACAGAAGAAATCCAATTAAGGGAATGTTATCAAGCAGGTTATCACTATTGGTAACTGGGGTCAATATGTCTGGGGAACTCTGGGAGTCAACGTAGAACTCAGAGTTAAGGTATTTAGCCACCAACTCCCTTGGGTCACCAATTGGGGGCTGCTCTCAGTGGGGGCATTTACTCCCAGGCATTTCTGGTGTGCCCTGAGCATAGGCCAAGCAGGCAGATTCACAGGGGCATGCGATTAGAATCAGCAAATTTGGAGTGCCCTGGAATGGTGAGTGCCAAAGGGACATGGCAGGGCACTGACAATGTCTGTTAAACTCTCCAAGCTTTAGTCCTGTTCCGTTGGTTCATCTGTCTGTTCTTGTGTCATTACCTTTTCTATTACTATAGTTTTCTAGTACCTCTTGATATCTGCTAGGGCAAGTTCTCATTCTTAGCTCTTTATATTTAAAATCTCCTTAGCTATTTTTAGACCTACACTTTTCCATATTGATTTTAGGTTATATTTATGAAGTTTCTGAAAAAAAATAAATGAATTTTCTTAATGTAATTCATCATGATTATAAAGGAGAAAAGGCATAATGCTTATTTCGAAAGATGCAGATAAAGTATTTGATTAAGTTCAAATTTGATTTAAGATGAACAAAACTCTTAGTAAAATTATTATGCTAAGCAAAATAAGCCAGTCAGGGAAAGACAACTATCAGGTGATCTCACTCATTGTGGAATCTGATGAACAAAATAAACTGATGAACAAAATAGATCCAGAGACATAGAAGCATGGAACAGACTGTGAAATCTCAGAGGGAAGGTGGGGGTAGGTGGGTGGGTAGGAAGAGATCAACCAAAGAACTTGTATGCATATATGCATAACCCATGGACACAGACAATAGTGCGGTGAAGGCCTAGGGCAGGGATGGGCTAGAAGGGGGAAAAGAGGGACATATGTAATATTTTCAACAATAAAGATTTTTAAAAAAGATAATTTCCATGCCTAGCCAGTGCGGCTCAGTGGTCAAGCATGGACCCATGAACTAAGAGGTCACCAGTTCGATTCCAGGTCAGGGCACATGCACAGGTTGTGGGCTCGATCCCCAGTAGGGGGAGTGCAGAAGAAACATCTCTCATCAATGTTTTCATCTGTCTATCCCTCTCCATTCCTCTCTCTCTAAAATCAATAAAAACATTTTTTTTTTAAAAAAAGAGAATTTCCTGCCCTAACTGGCTTGGCTCAGTGGATAGAGCGTCGGCCTGCAGACTCAAAGGTCCCAGGTTCGATTCCGGTCAAGGGCATGTACCTTAGTTGTGGGCACATACCCAGTAGGGAGTGTGCAGGAGGCAGCTGATCGATGTTTCTCTCTCATTGATGTTTCTAACTCTCTATCCCTCTCTCTTCCTCTCTGTAAAAAATCAATAAAGTATATTTTTTTAAAAAAAGAGAATTTCCTTAACTTGATAAATTACATAACAAAATTATAGAACAAATGTATACTTTATGGAGAAGCTTTATATATATTTGCTATGTAATATAGTATTGGTGGCTTTAGAAAAAAACTAAGGAAAAAACAACTTGTTTCTTCAGTGCTCATTGTGTTACTAATGCACCTTTTTGGCGTCAGTTTTCTATGAATTTATCCATTGCAACTAACTTTTCAAAATTATTACCATATAGCTGTCCATAATGCTCTTTGTGGTGACAGTTTCATTGAGATACAATTCACATACCATACAATTCATCCATTTAAAATATACAATTCCATGGGGTTTTTGTGTGCTATTTTCAGAGTTGTGCAATCATTGTCAGTCAATTATCCATAATAATTTTTTTGTAACTAAGAAGGAAAAGTTTATTAATGTGGTTTCAGAATTTATATTGTAACTAACCTTTTTTCTTTTTCTTTATTTTCTAAAGTTTTACATATGTCTCCTTTTTCCTTGAT